CAGCGCGGGGGGGGGGCGATGTGCCTGGGGTGCTGCTTTAGGAGGGGAGCCACTGGGTGTGGATGGAGAACTTCTCCCTTGGGTAGGGAGCAACTATGAACCTTTGTCCCGGGTGGCAGAATGTCCAGCTTCCCCACTGCAAGCTACATGCACTGGGCCCTTCTTGTTGGAGAGGTTGTAATACATAAAGTACTTACTCCCATACAGAGGGAGGGGCCCAACATACAAACCACTCCTAACTCTCATACAATGTATCAGCAGAACAAGTATGGACCTGGACCCTCGGAATTGTCTGTTCCATGATACTAAGTTCTCTATAGGGTCATATAAAAAGCCACATTGCCTCAATGCAGCCAAACGTGTGATTCCCAGACACCGGGGACCTCCAGTGATGCCCACAAGAATGGATCCAAGAAGAAGACCACCAAAGGCTGATGGAAGATCTTCTGCACAAACACATCGACTCTTATGAGACATATTACAATATCCGGCATGCTGGAGACAATATAAGACAACGAGGGATCATACGAAGAACATCTCCAGACTACGATCAACTTGAGGTGAAGGACATAGACTGTACACATCCTGGATGGAATGATAGGTGAGGTCTTCAACCCTGGAAACCTGACCCCATAGCAGACTAATAGACACCTAAGATTCAGATTGATGGACCTTCCCTCCTACATTACCAATACTCATCTCACCAAGAGCTGGACCAGTTTTCTGGGGAGACTCCATACCCTCCTCCTCAGGTATCCCGCCATGTCTGTGTCTCATCTAGTTCCAATAATTGGTTCCATTGTTCCATGTAATTACAACCATTGAAATTCCTCCTCCTGTTATATGCAACAAAATCCTGCAATCCCCGGCGTCATAGAATTTGGAGATACATTGTGAAAACGGAATGCAGAGACCAAGAGATTGGTAGGGTTGGTACACCAAATCTGGAATATGTCCCAAAGACTTTCCAATGTAGCAAAAAAACCAAAGTAAAACTCCAGGTCTCCAGGTCAGGGGTTCTAAACACTCAATATCACACAGGGAGAATTAATAACTCGGGGGCCCCATCAATGGCCCTTGGTAGAAGAGTGAAAAGTCATATAAGTACACTGCAGTCACATCAGGCAAGAACCTTACTGGAAACTTAATCCTCCTGTTCCATCGCACTCCTGACCAGACAAAAACCCAAATCCAACTGGGTGGGTGCGGTGGTGACAACGGATGCCTCCGTGAAATGTAGATAGATAAAAGTAGTCACTCGCACTCCATGATATTAAGGTCAATGCTGTTTATTGACTGAGATAACACACATCTCCTTAGCGACGTTTCGAGACCATGCGGTCCCGTCCTCAGGCAAACAGAGAGTGGGTCAAGCAACAAAATCAAACAATAAATACAGGTGAAACTCAGTCAATAAACAGCATTGACTTTAATATCATGGAGTGCGAGTGACTACTTTCATCTATCTAAGAACCATACTGGGTCCCCTCATTCCAATGACTTGCTCAAAGATCGGCAGATACTACCCCATAAGGTGACAATTACCCAACCATAGCCACGCTGGTTATTATGGAAAATGTGAGATAATGATTCTGCCGTTCTTATTCATGTTGGCGTCAGGGGATTCCCAATTTAGTAGGCAGGGCTGACACCTAAGCTCAACTATAAGGGAGACATAGGGAGGCGATTGAAGGAGCAACTGCACAGAGCTGGAGCTGAACCTCACACACAACCTGCCCACACTGTCCATCCAAAGTTATAGTTTTAGGTGGAGATCTTTAATTTTGGTTGC